TGCATAACAAACCAAATGGCCTATCCCGAACACATATCGCATGCCTCTAATAAAGAGGCGTTGTTATAAGATATAATAATAACCATGCTGACCATATTTCGACGCAGTTCGAATGGAATAGCGTTCAAACTCTGGTCCCCTTGATAGTCGGCTTCGTAGGCTTGCTCTTCACTCTCGTGTACGAAAGATTCTGGGCAAAACAGGCTTTCTTACGACATAGTCTATACCATAATGCCTCCTCGATCGTGGGCTATATATGCGGTTCCATTCAGGGGATGGTGGTAAGAAGACCCTTCCTTGGTCGAGTAATGTTGTTTGAAGCTGATCTTTGTATTACGATAGCTATACGGGCTACTGTACTAGTAAGTTTATCCATTCACTAAGAACTCCTAACCAAGCGACCTCGTTTAACACAAGAGTAAAGTGGTCCGTTCTACTTCTTATCCATAAAAGGATATTCCCCGCTTGACACCGGCGTGGGGATGTTACCAGCGACTCTGACCGTAACCATTGCTGGTATCATCTGCGGTCGCCTCGTAACACGCTATAATCACTACCGTTGGCCCATCCAGGTCGGTTGGTTCATCGCAAGTATCGGTGCCGCACTGTTCCTTGTCTGGCCTCATAATGATAGCGCCGCTGTCTGGACTATGGCATACCTCGTTATTGGCGTTGGGCAAGGTGCTATTCTCAATGCACAGAACTTCGCCACGCAAGCTATGTGTAAACAAGGCGACGAGGCCGCTGCTGCTTCAATGTACGCCTTCGTCCGGCAATTTGGCATGGCCCTGGGAGTCGGCATCGGCGGTACCGCATTTCAGAACGTAATGGCAATCAAGCTACGGTCGCTCGGACTTCCGGTCGAGATTGCAAAGCAAGCCGAAAGCTACATCAGTGTCTTACATAGGCTTGAGCCCGGCCCCTATAGGGATAACGTGATAGATGCTTACAAGTTTGGGTTCACTGGCGTCTTTTCTTTCTATTTCGGCATCTCTGTTGTCGCTTTCGTAATAAGCCTCACTTTTATCAGGAATGTTGACCTAACCCGCCATCTTGAGAGTGAGCATCGGCTCGACGGGAGTCGCTGGGAGAAGCAACACAACAAATTAGTTGCAACCATTGTGTCTAGTAAGCAGCGTATTGGGATATAAAGCATGTATCGTAGCCACTCTGTTAGATTAGATTATACCTAGCATTTGTAATTGATCTAAGGGAATATGTCAGGTTCTCTGGCATCTTCACGTGATATGTGACTTCGCTTCGACCGGGCTAGAATTTGAATGAACCAAGAGTTTTGATGTTGGGCTAGGTGTGCTAATCGCTTCCGCATATAATTGACTTTGCTCGCCTATGTTGCCACTCTAATGGCCCGGCTTCTTGGCAAGGGGGACAGGGCAGACAACAGGCCGGATTCCGACAAGGAAGCCAGACGCCATCTAAGATTGTTCACAACAGTCACAAACGATCTTCTGTGATATATCGTCTATGCGCGTCCATCCATTCGAAACCCAGAGCGCGAAATTTATGTTACTATCGATAGCAATCGTAAGCGGACTCTTAGAGCAAAGATGTTGTCGCTACGGTCGACCAAAAGACGCATCACGAACCTAGACGAAGCGGCCAACATGAAGATTGATTACTACCGGCTTATGTTAAGTAAGGTTTTGACCATGACGAGATGTTAAAGGTTATTGAGCTCCGTCTAGCTTAGTCTATGCAAAGCAATATGTGTGAACCTACCTACATACTAACGGACCCCAAGCGAGCATTTTATTGTTCATAGTTGGAGTGTGGTTCTGAGAAGCCCACCGCCTCCTCCCCTTCGTAAAAGAGACCTCTTCGCTATGACCATTGAAGTGGCTAACAAGGAAAGTGTGAAAATATTACGGGGGTTGCATCATTGCGAGCATGTATTTGGTCATGGTTACAAGCCTCAGTCGGCTGTTGCGGCTAGCTTACGGTGATGGTAACTAATGCGGCGCAAGCATGTGATTACACACTCAAACGCCCAACAGGGTCCTCCCGGGCTGACTGTCCTAAATCTAGTGTTATAGCCAGTGTAACGATATTCGACGCAAAGTCGCAAGAGTACGAGTAGATCCTATCAAAACAGCGGCAGACATCTCACGCAGTGAAGACCACGAAAGTTAGAGCCCAGCTCTATTTGTATCCGTAAAATATGATCGAGACATCCTGCACAGCATTTACCCTGTACTTACTTTCCTTCTGACTCTAATTATGGCATCTTCCGGAGGAAAAACTGCGTCCGTAATCCAATGAGCCTGCGGTCTCCTGCCATTGTATTCGGGCGGAAATTCGAGGTCATAGTTCATCAGCACGTATGCGATGATCATTTTCAGCTCGAAGTCAACGAGGAATCGCCCTGGGCAAGCATGCTTTCCATGACTGAAGGCAAGGTTCTGTGTCCCCGTTGACACAAAGCTTAGACTGGGAAGACCTGGCTTCCCCTGTTCGTCCATTTCTGCCTCGCGGGCACGCGAGAATCGGAAAGGGTCGTATTTGAATGGGTTCTCGAAAACGTCGCCGTCTGTCTGCAACCAGTAGGCAATCAATGATACCGTGCAACCTTTAGGTAGAGCAATTCCATCTTCGGTCACCAGTCCATCACCCATAACCTTACGTGCCACCCCGCGCGATGAGAAGGAGTTCAGACGCAGTGTCTCGCGGGCCACACTGTCGGCCCGCGTCAAAGCTGCTACCTTGGTCTTGTTCCAGCCAGATGTCTTGTCGTTACCGATCACTTGAGCGACCTCGTCACGCAAGACGGAGATGGTGTCGAATTCGGCGTCTGAGTCTATAATGTTGAGAAGCATGTTCACAACCTGAATACTCGTCTGGTGCATTGAGCCGAAGTTGGAGATACACAGCCTCTTCGTCATGTCGCGTAGACTTAGGGCTTCATCGCGTCGCTCTTTCAGCCCATAACGCAGCATCATCTGAAGGTGATCTACCGGCATCTCCATACCAGGGCTCGTTGCCTCCTTTTCCAACATCTCCATTCTCTCCCTGTATACTGGCTCAAAATACTTCTCAAGTTTAATGATCTCTCGCTTAGCACCCCAAGCACCAATGCGACCTAGGATTGGCCTTAAAAGCCTCGGGCTTGCACCACCCAGCCCCGCGCTAATCACAAGCGCATCTGCGTTGTCGAGACACGCATTCAGATATGCCTTCTCGCTACCTGAAGGCAGTTTAGTGGGTATTCTATGTTTAGTGTCGTGCAGAACGGCAGATATGACTTACATAATCTACGGCCGGTAGGTGATCCCCCCAAAGTGAACCGGGTAGCGGCTTGCGCTACGATTATACGAACCGCGGGCATCAGATTAATATCTTTCCAGGCTTCCGTATCGGTTCCGAACTGAGAAGCGATCGCGAGACCTAGCTCGTCATTCATAGCAGCACAGACGGTCTCTAAAACCGCATTCAGATCTGTTTTCACCAGCAAGCCACCCCAAGGATCTGAAACGAATTTGTCATGTCCGAAGCCATAGTAGGGCTGGATAGTGTCGGTTTGCGAGGCTATCGCGCTGACCAGGCGTTCGGGCTGGCGCTGTAGCCAACGTAAGGCATCAGGCGGTAAAATTACATCGTCACGGAACCCGAGCCCGGGGGCCAGCACGGTCTTGCCTTTCTTCGAGTACTAAGTGTCTTTTATGAGCGATCGGGCAGTAGCAAGTTGTCTCTTGATCATAGCAACACTCACATTATCATAGACCTCCTTGTACAGGCCTCGGGCGCCAGTGTGATACCTCCATCTTGTTCGCAGACTAAAGCGAGATCCGCCGCCAATCCTGGGCAGATTCGACGGAAATCGAATTGCGAAGAAGAGCTGCTGGACAGCCCAAACGGCCGCGAGAAGCACAGTTACCCCAATCAAGAGGTATAGAGCCATAGTTATAAAACCCCACCATCGATTGGTTATGCTGTACGGGGGTGCTACGCTCCTATTATACGTGCCGGCACAACGCCTGAGCCACCTGATTTACTGTAACGTTGTAACGCTGGAAACAAGAGTTCGTTTAAGCCAAGCAAAGCAGCTGGTAAAGATGTGGAGGAAGACAGGACATTTTACAGCAGATGGAGACGTAATTTTAGCACAGAACGTGAGACACAAGAGGACATCATTCGGTCTGGTTTAGTCTTAGTACCAAGATTGGTTCGATAGGCGTTATTTACAATGCAGAGGCGTTATGTGCCATGCAGCATACAGCTTATGGGGGCGCTTCCTCATGGGAATTATCTGACAATTCGATATTGCGTCGTTACCCCCGGCTCGTTTGGTTACACCAACCATTATTACTGTTCTTGCCCTGGTCAGCTATTCTCCTTATAAATTTATCATAGAGGACTGCTTGCGGTTATGGGTGGGAACGGCCAAGTCTTCCCCACTATGGCATACCGGCGCTTCTTGGGCGTCACTCACTACCTAAGGCAGCTAGACGAAAATCTATGCAGTTTTCGAGAGGCTGGTATTTTCCCGAGGGATATCAAATCATTTGAGAAACGTGGTTGATTGCCGCTTGTCTGCAGCTGCAACATACACTAGTGCACGCTGTCAGCAAAAGCAATTAATTGGCGGCCACCATGATACAAGTTTCAAAATTCACAATTGACGACGCCACAATGCCGGTGCCGAGCTGGCGGTTGACACAACCTTAGATAGCGTAGGTTTGGCTACCGGTAGTCTGGGTCGTTCGATCTTCTTATCTTCTTTAAAGCGGCGTGCGCACCCAAGCTTAATCGGGTTTCATATTAAGATATTAGTGAAGGAAACATCATTGATACTCAAGAGCTATGAATAACGTATTTCTTTACAAATCGGACAGATAGCAACATCTCACATTTAATTCGAGATCTACTTGTTCTAAATAGGAGTCCAAGAAGAGTAGAGACGCTGAAGGTGAGAACGAGAAAAAATTGAGAGGGTGAAAAAAACTGGTTGCTACTCCCAATGACCTGGGAAGCATCAGGAATTGAGCCCGATGCGGGGGTCGAACCTAGCGGGAATTAGTAAATTTTGCTACACATCCGCAACCTTGAGATTAAGAGTCTCACGCTCTACCGATTGAGCTAACCGGGCGTGTATTTATTGGACTTTTCCGGGTTTTATAATTATTGATATCATGACATGAATTGGCATGTGCATACTAGTTCCGCCCGTGCTTTGTGCGGCTATAGGTATTCTGTACGATATATATTTGCCCCTTCCCTATTGATTCTAGAAGTTGTTTGAAGAAACATGGTTCTCTGCGTACATCGTTTCCTTCGTTCCGTTTCAGCAGAAACCTCCGTCAACCCAGCCAATTCAATATCAGTTAGGAAAGGCCTGAGCTCGTTTTTGTTGTTCTATTGTTTTCATGGAGCCGTAGATAGTGTGTTTACTCCGCATTATTACATCACCTTGATATAACCTACCCAGATCAATGACGTGATAACGTTCTTTTAACCCTATTAGATATAATGTTTCAACGCTCTGGGTTCATCGATGGGTTCGGTGGGATTAGAGTTGGAACGGTAGACCGTATTTGCAATAAGCTCATCTCTACGTCGTCCAACTCAAAATCCATTCGCCATCTAAAGCGAAGCGATGATCTAAGATGTCGCTCAAGCATCTCCAAGCGTCTCGAATATTTACGGCGGCGTGGTAATGATCTCTGCTAGAAACAAACTGTCGCAGTCGACCTAACCGGATTCCCCATTGGTTCATTCAAGACGAGACAGTTTAGACATCAGAAGGGCAACCTGCGCTCGAGAGTACCTTCGAGAACTAGATATTCAACTAGTCTGGTCACATGATGGCAGCGCACACGGACAATAAAGTACTGACGGCCCAAGTCAGCCTAGCGACGCCAGATGATATCCCCGATTTAATCCGCATATTCTGGGAGGCGTTCAGCGGACCGGCCGAATCAACTTTCCCGCACACGGATGGTGGGCGCATGTGGTTGGAGCGCAGCTTCCAGAACTTCCTCGGCCAACAGTCTTACTATCGTCCGCAGAGCAAGGTGCCTGTGGTGCGGAGTCCTAATGGTATGTCAAATAATCCAAGACAAGCAAGCAAGCAAGCGTGATTTATTGTACGTCTTTAAGCGCATCCACACGAGAAGAAGTTCAATGCGTAGATTTCTTTCGGCTTCAGGTTGTCGATACGAGCCGATTGGACGTTGACAACCAGATTCTTGATTTACGAGTTAGCGATAACATGAACTGAAGCATACCTTGACCCAAAACTAAGTTATGACAACAGGAAGACCAGTCTCTTTCGCTATCGTAACTGTTGCGAAACCAGGGCAGACTGTTGTCGGCAGCTCGTGGAAGCGGCGCTGGAGCCGCGCTGACGATCTTCCTGATGTCAGTGAAGAACGCTTGGCCAACTTCTTCGAGCCCTTGGCGAAGGCGCACCACCTAACTGTAGGCAAAGAGGGACATGTGTGTAAGTATTTCTTTTGCGTTGCATTATCCCCGGCGTACAACACCCAATGTTGCTATTTTCAATCTCATGCCCGATCCGATGTCGTTATTGTTGGTGAGACGACGATTGTGGATACAAACGTCGAACCACTCAGAGCTGACACCCAGTCTGGGTATTGTAGATATCGAACTCTTGATAACAAGTTCAACATGGCGCCACAGAGGGTACGCCACAGCGCTCGTAGGATGGGCTACTAAGCTCTCTGATGATCTCGGATACGTTGGTTATCTCGACGGTGGCGGCCGCGGGATGGGAATCCTCGAGCGCGCTGGTTTCGTGCCAAAGGATATCGGGTATAAATATGACGAAACACCACCTTGTGTCCCCATGTTGAGGCCGAAGAAGGGAATGTAAGTGACGGGGCTGGTGTCGATCATGAGAGAGAAGCGTAACAGGTTGGGCAGGGTTATATTGAGGGGTATGTTGGTAAAGGAGCTAATATTGCAGTGAACATGTTCTGAAGTACGACGAAAAGGCAATCTGGGGCCCAAAACGATCCATCATTAGCTTACACATTCCTGCCTTGCCTCCCTTTTCCTACATATCTGTTAAACATGATTGTTTTTCCATCCATAAGCATACCGTTGCTGGCCCTATTGGCGTGAGCACGACTGGATCTGCTAAGAGAACTCAGTGGCACCCAAAGGGACTTCTAAAGGCACCAACTAGCAGTAAATGGGTACTTTTAATTTGATGTCGAAAAATCATCAACACTCCTGCCGCCTAAAGGGTATGTATGAGTTAAAGCCAAATTGACACACTGTTATACAACGCCCCGCCATAACGCCATAATATCATTTGTCGCTTGATGTTCCGTGTCGAATAATTTTGCTGTCGTGGAGAAATCAGAGAGTTGTCTCTCATGATTCTACTTTCACTTCGAGTCGTCGAACCACATCATCGTACATGCCGTCAATCTTGGCGAGGAGGAGTGCCCTTCCTACTTCCTGGCGGTACTCTTTGTGAAAGGCGCGGTACTCTGAGGAGTGAATCGGGCTCTGGGGCACCTCTGCTCCGGTTACAATATCCCGGGCGACATCATCAAACGCCGTGCTCTTTTTCGATGCCGTTGATAAGCTCCGGGGCCGCATTTGTAAGTCAAGACCGCTGGGCTTCTTGAGGATACCCTTGGGTCGTGACGTTGGAGAGCTGGATAGGGCGTGCATTTTGATCTCTTGGCCGAGCCTAGGGGCTGGAGTGTGAAAGGTTTGCCAGACTGAGAGTTCGCAGTTTAACTTTAGTTTGATGATGCTGAAGATTCATATATACCGCTCTTTGACGTCCAGAAGCAGCTTTAAAAGGATGTGGCATATGTTAGCGATAAGTAGGTATATGGGCCACAGCTAAGAGCGTAAGGTTAGTTGGTCGACACGATACGTTTGAGATCAACAAGTTGGGTTTTCGCCAACGCCATCATCTGACAACAAGTGGTAAGAGCAGCGAGAACGGATTGTCCTCTTCTGTCGTGATATGATCCGCTATACCGTACCGTGATCCCGTGGGACTTTGTGCTGTCGTGGGGGGATTGGATTGATGTTGTACAGATCGGGGATCGCTCGATGCAGTGAACAACGTTGTAATGAGTAGAACCAAGGGCAAAGACCCAATGGGGGTCTGGCTGAGGTGCCTCTGGGGTTTTGATGGGGGACATGCGCTGTCTTCCTTGTCTGACGTGGCCATACGTGACGCCGCCGAGTCAGCCGGGTCAGGCCGGCAACCAATGTGACAGGGACCAGATGTCAGGGTCTCAGGCTATTATTGCTTTGTGCCTCAAGCAGGCATGTCCACACGTGGCGGGGCCAAGGACCATTGGTATTGTAGCTGTCGGTTACAACCTTTTTGCCGTGACTTTTTCGCGACGACTTCGGCGGATGCGACGCCTGGCGATAATCCCTCAATCACCCCGCAGTCGAATGGTTATATAGCTTGATTTATGCAGAAAAATGCCAAGGGGCCGAATGAGCCGAATAGGCTTCCACGCTGAGGAAAATCGCATTTCCACAGCACTCATCCTATGGCAATCTCTAAGCGTGTTGTTAAGAAATGGGCCATATTAGATCGGCTATCACAACACTACATGGCGATCTACCGGCCATCTCGACCCAATCCTTTGTTTATAAGCTATCCCGTCACTTTATGTACAATAGTCAAGATGAATCAAACAAAATGGCCGATGAAGCTTGTGATTGACAGGTAGCAAGGATTGTCAGCCGTGGACTCCTAGCCAAGAGCCCGAGCATTTTCGCCATGACCGTCAAGTAGATTAACATCTGCTTGAAAACAACACCGGTTCGCAACCGCTGATTGGATCCTCTCGTCGTACCGCGCAAAGTTGAAGAGCCACAGATACAAGATGGTAAACACACAACGACCGATGCGTCTGTTTAGATCGTGGTACTGCTCCAGGTCTCGATGAAGTGTAGCCATGTACCCCGCAATGATCGACGCTTGCTAGACCCTGAAATTGGGGGAAATAAAATCCACGATGGGGTTAGAGTGAGTTTGACGAATACCTACGGGATTCACCTCATGTTTACTTCCCTTGAAGTTGGTTGGATATCGTCATGCGTGGCCTTACTGCGTACAGAACAGAATCAGGTAGGTATCTATCCCAGACGCCGAAAGGGGGGGATGGGCGCGCAGTAAGCGATACCTTCTGCGCCGTAAGGGTGAGAAATCTTGCCACAGCGTAGATCTAGACTCTCTAGGACAAGTTGTTGTTACATAAGTAAATGCCTCGGCACCAGTAGGAATTTGGAGAATCTGTCGATATTGTTGGAGATTTATGAATCCGGTTCCGAGTCCGGTCGGTCAAATCTAGGCCGATCCCCTTTTGCAAATCTTGAATTATCCCATCAACATTTATTTCGCATTAACATAAGTAGTAAGATATGTCGATACTGTAAGTACTTAAGGTGGGTAGGTTTCACTGTTAACTTAACTTTCGACTTGTCAGTTCTTGGTCAGGTGGGCCTAGCTACGCTCTAAGCATCCGGACGCAGGGGCCGAGACAAACCCGAGAACCCTGCTGACGGAAGAACCAGACAGTGGGTAGAGACAACATATTGGATCTAGTGTGTCTATGAATAGAGACCAGCCCACCTTCTCTAGCCCTATGATGTTACTCGTAGGATAGAAAAAAAAAAAAAAAAAAAACAGCCATACTCAGGCGTGTTCATTGTTGAATATGTCTGTTGTGATTTGTTTCATTTTCACACCAATAAAATGTACACACCGTCATGGTGCGACTTGCCATGTCTGGGCGGGCGAGAAGGTTGAATGCACGTGCCTGAGCCCCTTCCCCCATTGCTTAGGTGGGATAATCCTATATTTTTGCCAATTGCAATAGGCAAGTCTATTTACGTACCTAGTCTTGACTACCAGCTGCTGACACCTGGCAGTAGATAAGATGGCTCTCTCCGTGCTCAACCAATCAAACCACACACTAAGCCTACCTAGGTTTATCAACCCATCATTGGTTACTTGCTGGATAGCTCCGAAATCCAACATATTTTCCAGCACTACAGTTGTACAAAGTTGCAGCCCATCTTGAATATTGTAAGTCTTTTGTTTAGATGTGCTATCACGCTAATTGAGATTATGCTCGT